GTAGTAATAGCACAAAAATGGAAAGGAGCTGGAGCTACATAAAAATAAAGTTTCTATATTTCACTGAAACTAAGTCAGCATAAACGTGAAGTACATTCTGATAAATTAAGGTGCATATCTTAAGCCTTAGACTGTACACACATACATACACACACACACTCAAAGAAATTAATATGTTAAACAAGAAAAAATCCACTTAATATAATAGAAAGAAATCAAGGGCTAGGCACAGTGGCTCATGCCTGTAATCCCAGCACTTTGGGAGGCAAAGGTGGGAGGATTACTTGAGGCCTGGAGTTCAAGACCAGCCTGGGCAACATAGTGAGACCTCATCTCTACAAAAAGTAAAAAATAAAAAAAATTTAGCTGAGTGTAGTGGCATGTACCTGTAGTCCCAGCTCTTCAGAAGGCTGAGGTGGGAGAATCACTGGAGTCCCAGAGTTCAAGGCTGCAGTGAGCTATGACTGTGCCACTGCACTCCAGCCTGGGTTACAGAGACCCTATCAAGAAAGAAAGAAAGAAAGAGAGAAAGAGAGAAAGAGAGAAAGAGAGAAAGAGAGAGAGAGAGAGAGAGAGAGAGAGAGAGAGAGAGAAAGAAAGAAAGAAAGAAAGAAAGAAAGAAAGAAAGAAAAAAAGAAAGAAAGAAAGAAAGGAAGGAAGGAAGGAAGGTAGGAAGGAAGGAAGGAAGGAAGGAAGGAAGGAAGGAAGGAAGGAAGGAAGGAAGGGAAAAAGAAAGAAAAAGAGAGAGAGAGAGAGAGAAAAAGAAAGGAAGGAAGGAAAGAAAGATGGGAGGGAGGGAGGGAGGGGAAAGCAAGAAAGGAAGGATTAAATTATGGTGATGGTTGCACAAAGTTGTTTGTGTAAAAACAATATATTACATATGTTAAATGATGAATTAAACAGTATGTGAATTACATATCAATAAAGCGCTTTTAAAAACTGAGGCTAAATATATTACAATAAATATGATAGGAATAGAATTACCAATTAAAAGATGGTGATGATGCATACCTACACAAATATGCCCAACTGATTTTTGTTTTTTTGAGACAGATTCTGCTCTGTTGCCCAGGCTGGAGTGCAATGGCATGATCTCAGCTCACTGCAACCTCCACCTCCCAGGTTCAAGTGATTCTCGTGCCTCAGCCTCCTGAGTAGCTGGGATTACAGGTGCCCACCACAATGCCTGAATATTTTTTGTATTTTTAGTAGAGACAGGGTTTCACCATGTTGGCCAGGCTGGTTTTGAACTCCTGCCCTCAAGAGATCCTCCTGCCTCAGCCTCCCAAAGTGCTAGGATTACAGGCAGGAGCCACCAAGCCCAGCCCCAACTGATTTTTGACAAAGGTGAAGGAGTCATTCAATAGAGGAAGATAGCCTTTCTCAGCAAATGGCACTGGAGAAATTGGACATACATATCCCCCAAACAAAAACACACACACACACACAAACTTCTGCCTAAATCTCACACCTCATTACAAACGTAAGTCACAATGCACCATGGACTTAAGTGTAAAACATAAAACTGTAAAACTTTTAGGAGAAAACACATAGGAGAAGATTTGGGGCATCTAGGGCTAGACAAATATTTCTTACTCTTAACAGTGAAAATACCAATTCATAAATGACAAAATTGATGAATTGGACTTCGTGAAAATTAAAAACCTTTTTTCTGTGAAACATGCTGTTAAGAAGATTAAAAGGCGACTATAGAGTAGCAGAAAGTATTTGTCAACCACATTCCTGACAAAGTACTAGTTTCTGGAATATATGAAGAACTCTCAAATTCAGCAATAAAAAAGCAGAGTCCAATTTGAGCATGGACAAAAGACACGAAGGGTTATTTCACTGAAGAATTTATACGAATGGCAAAGCAGCACATGAAAAGATGTTCAACATCATGAGCTCTTAGGGAAATGCAAATTAAAACCAGGGGAGATATCACTACACACCTATCATAGCTGCTAAAATAAAAAAGAGACACCACCAAATGCTAATAAGGACGTGGAGAAATTGCATCACTCATACATTCCTGGTGGGAATGTAAAATGGTATAGCCATTCTGGAAAAATGGCAGTTTCTTGGAAAACTAAATATGCAACTCTCATAAGACCTAGCAATTGCACTCCTTGACATTTATATCAGAGAAATGAAGACATGTGTACACCATAACCTGTTCATGAATGTTTATAGCAACTTCATTCACCATAGCCAAAGACTGGAAACAACCAGATGTCTTTTGGTGGGTGAATGGTTACACAAGCTGTGGTATCTCTGTACTATGGAATATTTCTCAGTGACAAAAAATAATGCACTATTGATACACTCAATAGCCAGGATGAATCAACGGAAAATTATGCTGGGTGAAATAGGCAAGTCCAAAAAGTTTCATGCTATATGTTTCCATTTATATGTAATTCTTGAAATGAGAAAATTACGGAAATGGAGAACAAATCAGTGATTTCAAGGAGTTAACAAGAAGGTGGAAGTGGGAGGGAAGTGTGTGTGGTTATAAAAGGACAACATTAGAGATTCTTGTGGTGATGGAAATATTCCATATTTTGATTGATGCAACTGGCATAAGAAGTAACGAAATTAAAGTTAAACAAAACAAATGCAGTTTTTATATACTACAAAACTGTTTATGATAAAGGAACAAAATCACAATCATACAGAGTTTGCATTGACAGATTTCTCAGCCCTTGCCATTTGAAACAGATGTGTGTACACTTGCCTGAGTATTAACAAGCAAGAAATGTGCAATGAGAATCTTAATGAGACAGCAATGACTGCCTCAGTGTAAATGACTACTAATCAAATATTGAATTTAAGAATGTGACTTTCGGTGGCTCACGCCTGTAATCCCAGCACTTTGGGAGGCCAAGGCGGGCGGATCACGTCGTCAGGAGATCGAGACCATCCTGGCTAACACGGTGAAACCCTATCTCTACTAAAAATGCAAAAAAATTAGGCAGACTTGGTGGTGGGCGCCTGTAGTCCCAGCTACTCGGGAGGCTGAGGCAGAAGAATGGCGTGAACCCGGGAGGCGGAGCTTGCGGTGAGCTGAGATCAGGCCACGCGCTCCAGCCTGGACGACAGAGCGAGATTCTGAGATTCCGTCTCAGAAAAAAAAAAGATTGTGACTTTCTTTATGATGCTAATGCCGTATTGCTCTACTGATATGATAATGTACTTTAATTTTTGCCATTTTCTTCTTCGTCCTTGTCTAAGTTTTGCTTCTAACTAAAGTCCTTAACTCTTTGGCCATTTGATATTATTTGGTTATGGAATGGCAATTATCTCGAAAACATGAGAAACTGTGATAAGTTTGTACTTCCAAAGGGAAAGCAGTTGCTAAAGAACAGAGAAAACAACCAGAGGTCTGCCTTGGAGCTAGGCTGCCTTGGGTAAGACATTCACTCGTCATGGGGAGATGAGAGGCTGCTCTAAACACGGCAACACAAGCTGTAGAGACAACACATAACATTTCTTGACAATTTGCTTCACCTATCCCAGACAAGTGTGGACAGTAATTGGTATTTAAGTATAAATGCATTACTATGGCAATTATACTAATCAAAATGAGAAATCTACCAATATTTCTCGCTTTACCTTCCTGCTGTCTACCCATGAGCTGAGTGGCTCCCCCATCATTTGCAATGACTTTCCACTGCATCTATGCTTCACCTTGACAGGCTTGGCATTACTGCTTACTGCACTCCTGCTCGTATTTTATGATCCTTCATGATTATTATCATTACTGAAAGGGATATTATTTCCCCATTTTAGAACATCTATAATTTTTTTGGTCCTTTCCTTAGGATAATTTTTATTCTATTGACTCCTGTATTTTGCTCAAGTATATATTTTTTTCATGTAGAAGTGACATCAGGCAGAACAAGCAAAGCCATGTGGCTACAGGAGACATACGTTTTGCTTGCCTGAATATGACCAAGCTTACCTGAGATACAAGAAGCCTGTAGAGTCTAAGCATATCCCAAGAGTGCGTTCTTAGCTCACAGCTTAAAATTACAGCCTGAGTCCTTCTCCTTTACAACTCTACCATTGCCTACCATTCAAACCCTTACTCAACTCCTCCCTGACTCTTCCCCAAAGAGGATATTTCTTTGTCCATGTGTGGCTCCACCTTTGACTAAGAGCTTCCTCATTTGCCTATGACTTTCATGTCATTAACATAGAGGTGATGGGATGAGGCCAGCGAAGTTTAACCTCCACCACATTTGGTCAACAGCAACTGTTTCTTAGCTCGTCTCACTCTTGTCCTTATAAGAATGTAAACATTTTCCTATATTTTCCTCCTCTTCATTTCATGGGTCTGTGACCTGTACATCTTCCCTGTACTGACTTAACTCATTCTATTATTAAATGTGTGTATATATCTATTCCTTACGTCTTACTCTTCTCCAAGACGGAAAGTTCTCCTCTGATCAATACTACCCAACATAATCTATCTCCTTTGCTCTTTCTTCTTATTTCCAAGATTAGATGGTGAGCTCCTTGTAGGAAGCTCCTGTGCCTCCCAAATCTTGATGTGATCTCCAGAGCCCAACAGTGCAATGAACATGACAGATAATCAATCATTTTATTGATTGAATACGAAACTTTTGTTAGTTAAATACAGTGAGTTATCTTCTTTTGAAAAATTTATGAAGTCCTTTCTATAATATAGGCATTAGATTATATTTACAAAATCAGCTTTCTTTCCTGGTCATGGGGGAACCCAAACTTGTCTTTATCTTGAGAGAAATAATGCTAAAAAATAAACTGACAACCAATGCTCAAAAATAATTGAAAAAAGAAAATAGAATTTCTGATGTTAAGATAGTATTTATTGAAGAACAGTTAATATGTAATTTTGAAGGTCAAGTCAAGCATAACAATCAGAGACTTAGAGGTTTAGTCCAGCTGCATCATGCATCTGAGGTCTGAATACTGGAAAGAGATCCACAGAAAAAATGAGTGGTATGAAATGTAGATGCATGCCCTTTCACCAGTTGCTTAGTGGAATAACAGGATAATAAAGCTGGTGGCCATTTAACACATGGACAAGTTGGTATAAATGACACTTTCATATTGGTGTGATGGTGGCTGGCTCATGGTTGATAGTCCAATATGAGGTTCAATAAGAGGATCCACAGCAGCTGGGGCGGCAGCAAGTTGTACGGCAGCAGGTAGTCTGACAGCAGAGTGGGCGGCAGCAGCTGGACACACCACAGCTGGGGCGGCAGGTGGTCTGACAGCAGACTGGGCGGCAGCAGCTGGACACACCACAGCTGGGGTGGCAGGTGGTCTGACAGCAGACTGGGCGGCAGCAGCTGGGGCGACAGCAAGTGGTCTGGCAGCAGGTAGTCTGACAGCAGGATGGGCGGCAGCAGCTGGATACAACACAGCTGGGGCGGCAGCAGGTAGTCTGGCAGCAGCTGGGGCGGCAGCAGGTCTCTTGGCAGAGGCCTTGATCACAGCCCTGTTCGGAGCAGGCAGAGCCACAACAAGAGTTAACCATGGTGTCAGAGGGTGGAGGTTCTGGGTAGGTTTCCAAGACTGTGAGTTTTTCGAATGTGGGAGTCCCCTTATCCCATGTCCACTTTTATACTCAGCCGAGGAGCTGCTGTCACCACATAAAAGCTATTTCCTTGTTTTTATTTATCTTAATAGATAGGCAATTATGAAATTGGTTAATTGTGGGAAAAAAATCTGTATAAAAGGTGGAATGCACTTTTATTCTTTCTCTGTGTTAGGATTTGGCCAATCCAGTCTTTCCTTCTCCTCTTGTCTTCTTCTATGTGTCACCTAATTTCAAATACTTGTAATCTTACTCATCCAGCCGATTGTCAGGTGACAGATCACTTAGAACTCAGCATTCTGTGTGTCATCCTGGAAACTGTGTGTATCACAGCAGTCCTCAAATGGGATGATGTTTCTTGTTTTCTGAAGATTCTTCTGAGAAAAATAAACTGTGAAATGACTAGAAGAAAACAGCAGAAATTGTCTTAAAATATTAGAAGTGGAGTGGATTTTCTAATACAGAAAAACTTAATAGCAATGAAGACAAGGATTGAAAAAATTTGCAACAGAAAAAAATTTAAATGCCTGATTGAAAAAGAAGGCTAAAGAGCAAGCTGAAAATAAATTATAATACCTTAGCCAATCTAAAAATAAATGAGCTAATTTTCTTAATGTATGAATACCTCTTACACCTCAATGAGAAAAAAAAAACCCAACAACCAAACAGAAAATTGAGTAAAGGATATTAACAGTCATTTCCCTGAAAAAAGAAATTTAAATGCCTTTTGAGCTTCTGAAAGATGTTGAGTCTCACTCATAATTTAAGGATTTTTTTCAAATTATTATACTTCAAGTTCTAGGGTACATGTGCACAATGTGCAGGTTTGTTACATATGTATACATGTGCCATGTTGGTGTGCTGCACCCTTTAACTCATCATTTACGTTAGGTATACCTCCTAATGCTATCCCTCTGCACCCCCACAATAGGCCCCAATGTGTGATGTTCCCCTTCCTGTGTCCAAGTGATCTCATTGTTCAGTTCCCACCTATGAGTGAGAACATGTGGTGTTTGGTTTTCTGTTCTTGCGATAGTTTGCTGAGAATGATGGTTTCCAGCTGCATCCATGTCCCTACAAAGGACACGAAACTCATCCTTTTTTATGACTGCATAGTATTCCATGGTGTATATGTGCCACATTTTCTTAATCCAGTCTGTCACTGATGGACATTTGGGTTGATTCCAAGTCTTTGCTATTGTGAATAGTGCCACAATAAACATGCGTGTGCATGTGTCTTTATAGCAGCATGATTTATAATCTTTTCGGTATATACCCAGTAATGGGATGGCTGGGTCAAATGGTATTTCTAGTTCTAGATCCTTGAGGAATTGCCACGCTGTTTTCCACAATGGTTGAACTAGTTTACAGTCCCACCAACAGTGTAAAAGTGTTCCTATTTCTCCACATCCTCTTCAGCACCTGTTGTTTCCTGACTTTTTAATGATTGCCATTCTAATTGGTGTGAGATGGTATCTCATTGTGGTTTTTATTTGCATTTCTCTGATGGCTAGTGATGATGAGCATTTTTTCATGTGTCTGTTGGCTGTATGAATGTCTTCTTTTGAGAACTGTCTGTTCATATCCTTTGCCCACTTTTTGATGGGGTGGTTTGTTTTTTTCTTGTAAATTTGTTTAAGTTCTTTGTAGGTTCTGGATATTAGCCCTTTGTCAGATGAGTAGATTGCAAAAATTTTCTCCCATTCTGTAGGTTGCCTGTTCACTCTGATGGTAGTTTCTTTTGCTGTGCAGAAGCTCTTTAGTTTAATTAGATCCCATTTGTCAATTTTGGCTTTTGTTGCCATTGCTTAACTGAACAACTTATTCATTCATCAAACCATCTACTGAATACTTACTGTGTGCCAGCTTCTACTGCATGCTCTGGGGATATGGCAGTGAATACTTGCTATTTGTGATGACAAATGTAAAATATTTAAGTTTAAAAACTTCAATAAATTAGTAAAATTATAAGGAAATTGACATTTTAATACACAGTTGGCAGGGATCTAAATTGAGGCAACTTCTTTAGATGGTAATTAACAGAATCTGAAATTTAACAGTATCTTGAATTAATTTACCATATTTTGAAATGTGCATGTGTTTTGATTGAACCGTTTCACTTCTAGAAATGTATTCAACACATGCACCTATACATACGCTCCAAGATATAAGTTCACTGGTATTCTTTGCAACATTGTTTGCAAGAATAAAGCCTGATTTTAAATTCTATTGGGGTTATAGAAGGGAAAGCCCTTGATGTAGGCAACACACACTCATGCTTAGAGGCAGTGAAGCATCACTTTCTTTTTATCACCAAAGAAACCTCTTTGACCTATTCTTGCAATTTCTCTGTATGTGCAAAATGATGTTAATTTTAACAAAAGAAATTAAGAATGTTATTTCTTTAGGCCATCCCTATCCCATGCAGACACCTACTTTCCATTTAGACCGAATTATTCAGGAAGGAGGGAAGAGGGGATGGAAGAAAGGATACAAGAACATATTTAGAATATATTTTTATGGACATATTTTATGACTGGGGTATATATAAAAATTATGAAAATTCTATTTGTTAGGCATAAGATGGTATAAAAATATCCATTCCATCTAAGTTATTAATGATTTTACTCAAATTCTCCATATCTTTGTTTACTTTTCTTCTTCAAATGACCGTTTTTGAAATAGAGTGTTTAAAGTCTCTGCTATGATTGTGGTTTTATCATTTTCCTATTTATAACAGGATTTTTGTACTTAGTTTGAATGTGGCCCAACTGTTTATGCCAACAAGAATATTAATGTTTTTCAGACCTAATTAATGTATCATAAGGAAGTCACTGTCAAGGTCAAAACAAGTGCAGGTATCATAGGCTTGGGATTCTGGTCTAACTGAGCCACAGTTCTATGGTCATTTGTTTGTTTAGAGATAGTTAGCCCTCTCTGTCTGAAGGCAGGGGAGACAGCTTAGAGATAACCCTTCTCCTTAAAAGGACTATGTTTTCAACACGGCGGTTGACTCAGGCTGGTGGTCAGGAGTGAAATTCAACAACAGGATCCACAGGAGATTGGTGGTGTGACAGCAGACTGGATAGTAGCAACTGGACCCACAGAAGCTGCAGCAGCAGCAAATGGTCTTGCAGCAGGTGCTCTGGCAGCAGCTGGTATGGCAGCAGATCTCTTGGTAGAGGTCTTAACCACGCCTCTGGTGAGAGCAGAAGGAGCTGCAGCAGGAGCTGACCATGATGTCAGAAGGTGGACGTTCTGGATGTGGGTTTTCAGTAGCCTAAGGTACCAAAGTTCATAAGCCTTCTTCTTTCCAAGTTTCCTTCTCTACTCTGCTGAAGACTTGCCAAATAACCTGGGTTATTTTCTGGCTATTGTTTATCTTACCTAAAGAGAAATTATCAGACTCTCTGATTGAAGTATGACATTGTAGCAGTTAGCCTTGGTTTTTTAAATGGGTGCAAAGGTAATTTCCATTTAATCAGTTGTTTGTCCCTAAAAGCACCATTTTTTTCTTCCTTTTTTGTCTTAACATCATCTCATCCATTCCCTCTTATACTTTTCAGAGTGTGTCATTTGATATTCTGAGCATAGGACGAGTCATTCTTTTGTGTTCCAACCATTTAGTTTCCTGCTCCTGAATGAGCTGCACAGCCACAGTCCCTTCACTTTGGACAGTACTTAAAATAGATGTAAACATGGATATGTTAATACCCAAAAAATTAGACCCTGATACATTATAGCAAATAGCTGCTAATGAAATCAGCATAGCACACTTGTAAATTATGAAGAAGCTAAAAAACATTTAAGGCACGTGGCTTCAAATTTAACTTGTTCAGAATAGAATTATTCATTTTGTTTCTTTTCCAAACCAATGCCCTAATTCTCCACTCCTATGGCAAATGGTTGTTAGTCCAAATTTTCAAGCTAGGGCTGGGTGTAGTGGCTCATGCCTGTAATCCCAGCACTTCGGGAGGCTGAGGTGGGTGAATCCCCTGAGGTCAGGAGTTCAAGACCAGCCTGGCCAACATGGTGAAAGTCCATCTCTACTAAAAATACAAAAAATTAGCTGCTGGGAGTGGTGTCACATGCCTATAGTCCCAGCTACTCAGGAGGCTGAGGCAGGAGGATCACTTGAACCCGGGAGGCGGAGATTGCAGTCAGCCAAGATCACGCCCCTGCACTCCAGCCTGGGCAGCAGAGTAAGACTTCATCTCAAAAAAAAAAAAAAAAAAAAAAAAAAAAAAAAAAAAAAAAATCAAGCTAGTGAATGTAAAGTTGTTCATTCAATAATCGTGTTTTGGTTCCAACTATGTGCCAAACCCATTCTCAGGATGGAGACACAAGTGAAGAATACTCCACCCCATCCCCTCCTTTACTATAACTTCATTCTGACTCAATGAACTGCACCAGGTCCTTTTACAGGATGAACTGGCAATGCCATTACCCATATGCTGGACCAGCAAACGGGGGCTGTGTCCACCTTCGCAGCTAAAGTCAGGATGCCTCAGCAGCAGAGATGGCAGAAATTTTTAGCCACAATTTAAGTCAAAGCAAATCAAGCTGTATCAAAGGACCATTTTGTTGCCAGTGAAAATAAGAAACTCTTTATTTCAAAAGATTAGCCAGATATGGAAATTGCTAAGCGTCCAAAATATTATGCAACTTATTCTGTCTTTTCCCCATTAATACACATGATGGAGTCATTCTCGTCCTGTTTGTTCCTGCATTTAAAACACACAATGGTGTGTGTATTTTTAAACTGCAATTCAAAGCAAAATATTTCAGTTTTCTGACTAACTGCTTTTAAACTTTTATTTGCACCACTAAACATAAACATCATGTACCCAGACATATTACCCAGGCATGTTACCCAAGCATGTTACCCAGGCATGTTTGTACTCAGGGCCATCAACAGATGTGGAGGTCAGCATGGAAAAGATTATGTCAATTACAATTGAGCCCAGTCCCCTGTTTCAGGAATTGAGGTACCAAAGTGGAGTTGCTGTTACTATTAGAATTAGCATCATTGAATCTGTGTTTGTGTGACACAGATGAAAAATTTGATGAAAAATAAATTTTAACTCAAAATATTTTAAAATATGGTTTACATTTGTCACCTTGAGTTAATCACCATGTTCTAGTGCTGGAGGGGAAAACGTAGGTGGTGACAATAGTTCTGGCCGCTTCAAGTTAGTTTCAGTTGTCAGGGGATCAGTCAACGTACTCTGTCTTAAAGAATGGTAATTCAGGGGAGGCACAGCAGCTCATGCCTGTAATCCCATCACTCTGGGAGGATCGCTTGATTTCAGGAGTTCAAGGCCACAGTGAGCTGTGATCGTGCCACTGCACACCAGCCTGAGTGACAGAGCAAAACCTTGTCTCTAAAGTAATAACAACAATAAAATGATAATAAATAAAAATATATACTTTAGTTAAATGATGCTATTGATGTTGATCACCTCTCTCACTTCTGGAAACAAGTTCTTATGGGTTATCTATTAAGTAGAAGAATCATTTATTTTCAGAAGATTCATAGCACTTAAGGAACACTTCCTCCCTGGGCAATTCCCTATAGGTGATGAAAAATAATGTCATAAATAATAACCAGGAAAATTCTGCTCATTGGTTCCAAATTTGGGAACCAGTGTATAAAAGGTCCAGATATTAGAAGGGGTCATCAGATTCTTGGAAACTCACCTCTGAACAGGAGCCCACCCTCCATCCCTGACACCATGACCCACTGCTGTTCCTCTTGCTGCCAGCCTACGTGCTGCAGGACCACCTGCTGCAGGACCACCTGCTGGAAGCCCACCTGTGTGACCACCTGCAGCAGCACACCCTGCTGCCAGCCCTCCTGCTGTGTGTCCAGCTGCTGCCAGCCTTGCTGCCGCCCAACTTGCTGTCAAAACACCTGCTGCCAGCCCACCTGTGTGACCAGCTGCTGCCAGCCCTCCTGCTGTGTGACCAGCTGCTGCCAGCCCTCCTGCTGTGTGTCCAGCTGCTGCCAGCCTTGCTGCCGCCCAACTTGCTGTCAAAACACCTGCTGCCAGCCCACCTGTGTGACCAGCTGCTGCCAGCCTTGCTGCCGCCCAACTTGCTGTCAAAACACCTGCTGCCAGCCCACCTGTGTGACCAGCTGCTGCCAGCCCTCCTGCTGTGGGCCCAGCTACTGTGGCCAAACCAGCTGTGGGTCCAGCTGCTGTCAGCCTATTTGTGGATCCAGTTGCTGTCAGCCTTGCTGCCACCCGACTTGCTATCAAACTACCTGCTGCAGGAACACCTCTTGCCAGCCCACCTGCTGTGGGTCCAGCTGCTACCAGCCTACCTGTGGGTCCAGCTGCTGCCAATCTTGCTGCCGCCCAACTTGCTGTCAAACCACCTGCTGCAGGACCACCTGCTGTCAGCCCACCTGTGGGTCGAGCTGCTACCAGCCTTGCTGCCGCCCAGCATGCTGTCAAACCACTTGTAGAACCACCTGCTGCCAGCCCACCTGCTGCCAACCATCCTGTGTGACCAGCTGCTTCAGCACACCCTGTTGTCAGCCAACCTGCGGTGGGTCCAGCTGCTGTAGCCAAACTTGCAACGAGTCCAGCTGTTGTCTGCCTTGCTGCCGTCCCACCTGCTGCCAGACCACCTGCTGCCGTCCCACCTGCTGCCAGACCACCTGCTGCAGGACCACCTGTTGTCGCCCCAGCTGTTGCTGCAGTCCTTGCTGTGTCTCCAGCTGCTGCCAGCCTTCCTGCTGCTGATCCACTTGCTGCAGACCCACCACCCACCAGAGACATATTTCCTGAAACATTCTGTCAAAATTCCTATGCCCCCAAGAAACATTCCCTAAGCTTTTCTGAGAAACAACATTCTGACATTGAACTTTGTGATCATCTTCTTCCTACCATGCTTGGGATTCTACTGAAGGTATGCAGTCTGCTTCACTTTTATTCTTCTTCATTTCCTCTGGATTAATGTGCCAGATGGTGGTCAGTCAGCTCCACCTAATTGACATGGACACATGGTCTCAGTCACAGGAAGTGGTCATCAGCTTTTGCCCCTGTGGAACTTAAAAAAAATTCTTAAGACTACACATCTAACTCTCTATAATGATCAATACTGATCACCTTTTTAGATATGTGCATTTTATTTAGTAGCCTCTGCCAGATTACTAAACTCTTTCATGATCACTTTTAATTGTCTCCCTACCTGGTCTTTCCTAATAAAATTTATATTATCCTGCATCTTATGGTATGATTTTTGTTCCATTTGTTTGTTTGTTTGTTTGTTTGCAGCAGTTGCTTTGTGAAGCCTTACTTTTGAGTTGTGGTTTATATTTATTATCTTGTTCAAGTCGCACAATGACCTACAAGTTGCACAGAGCAAACATTTTAGTGATGAGAAAATGATGTGCCATACAACTAGCAATAGACAAAAGAAGGTTCAATGACCAGGTCCTTTGAATCCAGGTCAAGGACACTTTTTTAAAAACATTTTTCTACAGGTACATGCAACAGTGGTGATTGAGTGCAGGGAACACGTACATTTTAAGTCACATCTCAAGCAAACACTTTTCTATCTACAAAGCACTTCCCAAATACTCTCCCCACCTCTATGACCATTAGAGACCACCTTTAAGAGTTCTAGGAATGCTTTTACACTGTTGGTGGGAGTGTGAATTCGTTCAACCATTGTGCAAGACAGTGTGGCTATTCCTCAAGGATCTAGAACCAGAAATACCATTTGACCCAGCAATCCCATTACTGGGTATATACCAGAAGGATTATAAATCATTCTACTGTAAAGACATCTGCACATGTATGTTTATTGCAGCACTATTTACATTAGCAAAGACTTGGAACGAACCTAAATGTCCATCAATGATAGACTAGATAAAGAAAATGTGGCACATATACACCATGGAATACTACGCAGCCATAAAAAGATTGAGATCATATCCTTTGCAGGGACATGGATGAAGCTGGAAGCAATCATCCTCAGCAAACTAACACAGACACAGAAAACCAAACACTGCATGTTCTCACTTATACGTGGGAGTTGAATAATGAGAACACACGGACACAAGAAGGGGAACATCACACACTGGGGCTTATTGGGGGGAAGGGGGGCAAGGGGAGGGAGAGCATTAGGACAAATACCTAATGCATGAGGGGCTTAAAACCTGGATAATGGGTTGATAGGTGCAGCAAACCACCATGGCACATGTATACCAATGTAACAAACCTGCACGTTCTGCACATGTATCCCAGAACTTAGAGTAAAATAAAATATAAAAATAAACAAAAATTTTAAAAGTGTTCTAGTCCATGAAAAGAGCTTTACATCTCTGGATTCCGATCCACCACTGAAGAATCTGTCACCAACAACTAGTGTGAGCACCATGGGTGTTCCTGGCCCTACCCTCACCAGGAGGAACCTCCTCTTTGCTGTCATGGTTGAGCGTCTGGGTATCATTTCATTCACCTTAACAGAAATTAGGATTAAGAATCACCTTTGCAAAGCACACAAGATTGGACCATGCTTCCTGGGTTCCCAAACTTTGGGGCAATTTTGTTTCCTAACACGAACTTCGTTAAGGGAAGATAAATTTGTACAGAACCCTAAGAATTAAGGTAACCATGCAATGGATTTATGCCCTTTGATCAAATCATGATCTCTGGGCCATAAAAGGAAACAAAATAACTTCCTGTGTTTTATGAGATAAAGAAGATAAAGTCAATTATGCTAAAGGAAGTCGAAATCAGAGTTTTCAGAAAAAAAAAGGGGAGAAATGGTAGAAAGAAGAAAATGGGAAGAAATTATGTACTTTTAAAGTCAAGATGGGCAATAGGCTGGTTCCCAAATGAGGGATCCTGGATCTTCTGATGAGAAACTGAATAAGAAAGAGAATAGCCAGGGGATGCAGCAGTACAAGAGCTAACTCAGCTTTGGGAGAACACTAAGAGGCTTTGGCTGTGGCCACCTTCTTAAGAGACATGAAAGTGCTTTGGGTGAGTGAACCACTTGATGTGACAGAGATGTGTGATCTTCCTAGAGGATGTATCTGGAGTTCTCTGCCAGGTTATTAACTTTCCAACAGGGGGAATCAATGGGTGAGTTGCCGACGTTTACTGAGAGCCTGCTATACACTAGGTATTGAGATAGTTGCTCCGTCCACACTCTCTCTCTTTCCCAGGCAATCCCAAAAGGTAGGTATTAGTGGCCACACGTTCAAGCTGAGGAAGTCAGTGTTGAGGGAGTTAAAGCAACTCACATGTGTTGCATAAATGATACAACATTTTTCTGCTTTCCAAAACAAAGCTGTTTGGGGGAAGTACAGGTGAAATGAGAGATATAGTTCAATGGAAAAAATTAAGAGACAAGAAAGAGATTCACACGTATATTATCAATTGATTTTTTGACAAGGTGACAAGTGAATATACAGAGAATCTATGGTCTTTTGAATAAACAGTGCTGGAACAATTAAACATCCATGACCAAAAAGAAAAAAAAAATAGAACTTTGATTTATACATCACATATATACAAAAATAAACTCAAAATGGATCATTGGCCAAAGTGCAAAACCTAAAACTACAAAACTTTTAGAAGGAAACAGGAAAAAGATTTTGGACTGTAGATTAGGTGAAGATTTCTTAGATGAATACATAGCCCCTCAAAAAGTGGGCAAAAGATATGAACAGACACTTCTCAAAAAAAGACATTCATGCAGCCAACAAACATATGAAAAAAAGCTCGACATCACTGATCATTAGGTAATGCAAATCAAAAAACAGTGAGATACCATCTCATGCCACTCAGAATGGCGATTATTAAAAAGTCAAGAAACAATAGATGCTGGCAAGGCTGTGGAGAAATCAGAATGCTTTTACACTGTTGGTGGAAATGTAAAACAGTTCAACCATTGTGGAAGGCAATGTGGCAATTCCTCAAGGATCTAGAACCAGAAATAGCATTTGACTCAGCAATCCCATTTCTGGGTATATGCCCTCAGGAATATAAATCATTCTACTATAGACACATGCACACATATGTTTATTGCAACACATTTACAATAGCAAAGACTTTGAACAAACCCAAATGCCCATAAACGATGGACTGGATAAAGAAAACGTGGCATATACACACCATGGAATACTATGCAGCCATAAAAAAAGATTGAGATCATGTCCTTTGCAGGAATGTGGATGAAGCTGGAAGGCATCATCCTCAGCAAATTAACACAGGAACAGAAAACCGAACATCACATGTTCTCACTCATAAGTGGGAGTTGAACAATGAGAACACATGGACACAGGGAAGGCAACAACATACACCAGGGCCTGTCTGGGGTGGGGGTCAAGGGAAGGGAGAACATTAGGACAAATATCTAATGCATGCCAGGCTTAAAACCTAGATGATGGGTTGATAGGTGCAGCAAACCACCATGGCACATGTATACCGTATGTAACAAACCTGCATGTTCTGCACATGTATCCCAGAGGTTAAAGCACAATAAAAAAAAAAAAAAGCAAACCGATATCCAAAACACACTCCATCATATCATGGCTCTATAGATTTTTGCCCAAAAACTTTCAGTTAAAATGAAAAAAATAAAGTTGAGGTGAAATGGGGAAAAAATAGAATATGGTAAGATTGTGAATATCCAGCAAAAGTTCTGTGAACTCAATTCTAACAAAGCAGAAGATGTGGTTAATAAGGTTAGTGATGGTCTTCACGATAGCAAAGACATGGAATAAACCTAAATGCTTATCAATGGTAGACTAGATAAAGAAAATGTGGTATATGTATGCCATGGAATACTGCACAGATATTAAAAAAAGAATGAGATCATGCCCTTTGCAGCAACATAGATGGAGCTGGAGGCCATTATTCTAAGCAAACTAACACAGGAACAGAAAATTAAATACTGCATGTTCTCTCCACTTATAAGTGGGAGCTAAAAATTGAGTAAATATGGACACAAAGAAGAGGACAACAGAGAGACCTGGGTCTACTTAAGGATGGAGGGTGGGAGGAGGGTGAGGATCGAAAAACTGCCTGTCAGGTACTATGCTGATTACCTAGGTGACTAAAATATCTGTACACCAAACCCTGAAACATGCATTTTACCTATATAACAAACCTGCAGCCGGGGGTGGTGGCTCACGCCTGTAATCCCAGCACTTTGGGAGGCTGAGGTGGGTGAATCACTTGAGGTCAGGAGTTCGAGACCAGTCTGACCAACATGGAGAAACCCCATCTCTACTAAAAATACAAAAGCAGCCGGGCATAGTGGCGCATGCCTGTAATCCCAGCTGCTCGGGAGGCTGAGGCAGGAGAATCACTTGAACCCGGGAGGCGGAGGTTGCAGTGAGCTGAGATCATGCCACTGTGCTCCAGCCTGGGCAACAAGATTGAAACTACATACATAAAAATTTAAAAAAAAAAACCTTGAACCTAAAATAAAAGTGAAAAAAAGTAAAGAAATAAAGGCAGTGATGAAGATCTTGAGAAACAGTGAGCATCTTAAAGTCTGCAATGGCTAGGGAGAAGAGATACGCCTGGTAAGAATGTCATCTGTTCAGTAGGAAGGCAGATGCCAGAGCTTATAATAAATTTAATGTGATTTTTTTAGGACGAAGCACTGGGAGAAAAGAAGGCTAAGAGTAGGAACCTCACAGGAATTCTTTTCGGTTCATTCCATTCGCAGATGATCCCAATGAGGAAAAAGTGCCGGAGGCCTAGGGTGGAAGGAGCTAATGCAAAAATTATTCTGGCAACGTGAATTCTAAACACTACGGGGATTCAAGCATTGGCTGGACAATCGTTAGGACATTGTGCCAAGGATTCACAGTGTCTGGTAATTGGTTATTATTATTGGACTTCGGAGGTCACCTCAGTTCTTGAGATACTTCAAAGTTCCCAAATGTTTTTGTTGGATTCAAAATTGACCATTTGCTGATTTTTGAAGTCCATAAGCAACAAAATATGTAAAATTTAAAAAGAAACATGCGGTGCCATACATACTTATTAGACATTCTCTTGGAGGGAACAGGAAGGCTGTCTTCCAGGGTAGTAAACACTACCTTGAAAAATGTACCAGTTTCTGGTCTTCAGCCTTGCACACTCCAAAAACTAGTATTATTTACATTCTAAGAGTGAAAGCACCTCTTGGAGTGAGTTCACTTTCACCAAGCCCACAACATTAGTACCAGTTGATGAATCTACGTGAGAA